GATCGCGCCAGGGCACCAGCAGGCCCTGTGCGGGACCGAGCCAGTTGGCCAGCCAGCGACCGACCGCCCAGCCACAGCAAGTTGACGGTCTGGCCAGCCAGTGAACCGGCCGGTTCAGACAGGTCATCTGAGCAGTTCAGGACTTAGTAACCCGGTCTGAGTTCAGTCCAGATTTTCAGTTAAATTTTCAGTCCAGTCAGTTCAGTTTAGCTGTACCAGTTCAGTCCAGCTTTATTGTCAGTCACGTTAAAACCCGAGATTATTCCAGTAAATCCAGTTAAATATTTCAGTTCGAGACGAGCATCTTATCAATTATTTCCAGTCAGTCTGAGCATTGTACTTAGTATTTGTTTATTTATATATTTTTACAGTTTGATCAGTCAGTAGCAGCACTTACATTTTCACACCAGCAGTTCAGGTGGGGACTCAGACTGAGTATTACATTGAGTATAATTACAGCTATCATGTTCAAGGTATGTATATTCAGTTCTGCTTAGAATGGTGGCCAGTCCAGGTGCCGTAAGTCCATTCTGAGTTCTAGTGGCGTAATCTGTCCACTAGGGTGTGCACATGGTTCTGGATATAGCCGGCAGATTCAGTTTTTAATCCAATAGCTTTATACTGTCGATCAGTAGTTTCACGGACATCGACATAGACATAGACTATATATATGCTATTGATCATGATATTGCATTATTATTACTGCTTTACTTTAGCATGAGTTTCTGCGGAGCACAGTGGCTTTTAGTGCTCACGCTCCCACTATATTATCTTTTTTTTCAGGTCACAGGGTCGGTGTAGAGGAGTGAGCCTAGCCGGCGGTCGGGGGTTTGACTACATGTTATTTTGCAGACTTTTGTCTTGTATATATATGTTTTGCCACGTTTTAAATTCCGCTGACACTTCAGTTTTACAAACTCGCATGTTGATTTCCAGATTTTGATCCGATTATCCAGTCGGATTTTATACAGTATTACATGCTAGTTTGACTAAATATAAAACCTTTTTTTCTTAATAGTTTTAACTCAGAAAAGATAACGGATTTTCAGAAAAGAAAGGTTTTTCAGTAGCATCGCAAATTACGATTTCGAAAATTATTAAGTATTTTTCAGATAAGATCTTGCGGAAATTTGAATGTGATCCTAATAAAGTAGCGGGGTGTTACAATTGGTATCAGAGCACGTTTTTGTGTATCTGAATACTTTATTAAGTTAGAGAGTTTTCACAAAAACCCGACCACGCCACGCTCACGCCTCGCCGACTTCCAGGTAAGTGCTGATTTACAGTTTATATATCTAAATAAATGTCTAAGTCTATGCTCAGTAGAGGGTCAGATATTTAACCTTAGAAACCAGTATAGATGCTCGAGTCAGTCATGGAGTATTTTCAAGATATAGTCGTGATATAAGATATTATACCTACCAGGCTAAACTGGTCTGTTGAACCTGTCGGAGAGGTCGTACTATAAAGGAACCAAGCCAAGTGGTGGGAAGATCGAGCAGCCAACCTGTCGACCAGTCAAGCTGTTGATCAACCCATCACTTGACCAGATAAGCGATCGAGCAACTTAGTCGACCTTAACAGGTAGATCACCTCGTAGACTTGACGCTCTTATGGATTGGCCTAGTCACAGGCGCATGTAAGAGCCTCTAACCGAATTTCAGGAGAATATTTACCCCATGTGCAGGAGGAAACGTGTCGAGAATGCAGTGGTTGATAGCGATAACCACCTCTGATAGCTCCCAACGCCCCGCGCCACCTCTGACATGTGCGCGGCGTGTCAGAGTACGGACGGGCAGTTTGGCAGCCAACTCACCTTATCTGACAGCTATTAGGGCAGGTATCTCACCCCTATATAAAGGGGGTGAGCCTTTCTCTCTTAACACAATTTTTTCATTATTCACTTCAGTATACTCATACACATACTGACTTAAGCATCGGAGGCTCTTCACCGGACATAACCCCCGGTGTGAGAGTTATTTGCAGGTTTCCGACGTTCTACCGGCGAGGATGAGAATCGATCTATTCAAAACCGGACCAGGGCGTCCACACCTGCATTATTGGCACCGTCTGTGGGACTTTTGTTCGAAAGGTTGTGTTTGAAGCTCAGCTATGGCAGACGGAATTCCCAGAACCAACTTGCAGTTGATGTTCGACGATGCTTGGATGACGACCAGGCCGATTGGACAAGGCCATTCTCTGGGTTTCTCTGGCCCTTCACAGACACTGATCACTCCTACACTCGTCCTTCAAGGTGCGAGAGCAACAACGGCGATTCCCGGAGTAGACGCTAGCTCTATTCGTGCCCAAGAAGCTCGCGCAGCAGCTGCGGTGGCGATGCCACCATCGCCGCCACAAAATCTAGTGGTGGTGCAACCAGGAGGAGCGGTGGCGCAAGGGGGAGTGACAGCATGAGGAGGAACGCCACCGCAGGCAGTTGTACAAGCTACCGGTCAACAGATGGTGAAGATGACCAGGGAGGAGATTCAGAGGATAGTGGCGGCCGAGGCGGTGTAGCAGGTCACATGCCACACATCTCATGCCACAACCGTGCCGACCATGGTGGTAGGGAGCCAGGACGAGGATGTGTCCAGTTATGGAGATGGAGGAGGTGGAAGAGATCGTGCGATGGAAAGGATGGCGGAGCAATTGCGCCAAATACAGGACAAGGTTGAAGGGAGACCGGAGAGGAGAGCTCGAGGACATCCTTTCTCAAGGGAGATCCTCGCTGCTCCTTTACCAAATAATTTCAGAGAGACTAACTTGGTATATGACAGGTCATCTGACCCGTCGAGGTATGTGAGGACTTTTGAAAATATGGTTGTATTGCATGGGTACTCTGATTCTGTGTGTTGTAGGGCTTTCTTATCGACCTTGCGCGAGGGAGCACTCGATTGGTTCTATCAATTGCCCCAGGATCGAAGCCAATTTCGAGGACTTTTCTAACAAGCTCACCAATCAATACTCGAGCTTTGTGGCTCAAGAGAAGACGTACTTAACCCTCATTACGATGAAGCAAGGAGAGAAAGAGTCGTTGAGAAAATATGTTGCTCGGTATAACCAAACGTGTTTGGAAGTGCACTCAGTATCGGATGAGGTGAAGGCGAGAGGATTGATAAGGAGTCTTCGAGCGGGGCCTTGTCGAACCTCCTTGGCAAAGACCCCTGCTCAGTCGTATAAAGATGTTTTGAAGCGATGCAGGAAATACATTAATCTGGAAGAGATGGAAGTGGAGTTTGCAAAATTGGAGGGGGCAGCTCGACCAAAGCCAAAGAAGGAGAAAAGCCCGCAAATAGGGAGGTCGTCGAGGAGGAGTTCGCCCAAGAGGAATGGGCCGAAGAGAACATCTCCCAGGAGAGAAGGTCGAGAGTCGAAGTGGGAGAAAAGAGATGATAGGTGGCAGTGAAGGCCTTTGTCGTTCGAAAGACAGAGGTATCATAATCTTACACCTTTGAGAAAGAACTTGACAGAAGTGCTCGAGGTGATGGAGCAAAATATGTCGAGCGAGGATGTGACGTGGCCAAAGACGAGGTTTATAGGCCCGATTCGACCGAGATCAGATATCTATTGTTGTTTTCATCGAGATTACAGCCACACCACAGAAAATTGCAGGCATTTGAAGGATGAGATTGAGAGGCTGATTCGAGCAAGACATTTGAATGAGTTCGTGTACCATGATAGGGCAAAGGGAAAAGGAAAGAGGAGATGTCGGGAGGATTCCGAGGAGAGAAGTGATAGAGATGAGGAGGGAGATGATAGAGATGGTCGGGATGGTCGAGGGAAGAGGCCAAGGAAAGATGGAGATAGGGGAGGTGAAAGAGGTGAAACCCCTGTAAAGAGAGGGACGATTTATATGATATCAGGAGGGCCGACGGATGGCAACTCGAACAATGCCAGGAAGGAGCATGCTCGAGCAGTAAAAAGAAAGAAAGAGGAGGTTGGAATCACGGTACATATGCCGGTTATAAGTTTCAAGGCGGCGGATGTTGAAAGAGGGGTGTTACCTCACAATGATGCTTTGGTGATTACCGCGGAGGTTGCGGGTTTTGATGTGAAGAGGGTGTTCATCGATACTGGAAGTTTGGTAGATGTAATGTTCTATGATAGTTTTTCGCAGATCAACATTGAGCTGAATATGGAGTTGAAGCCGGTGGCCACGGCTCTCTATGGCTTTAATGGAGGAGAGGTGATGCCGATAGGGGAGGTGAGTTTGCCAGTGGCGCTGGGATCAGGAGTGACGAGGAAAGTGTGGATGGTAAGGTTTGTGGTGGTAGGAGCTGAGTCATCTTACAATATTATTATGGGGAGGACGAGCTTGAACGCGTTCCAGGCGGTCGTATCCACGTACCACATGATGATCAAGTATCCTGTGGGCGAAAACGTAGGTGAGATTGTCGGGAATCAACTTACTTCGAGAAGTTGTTACCAGACAACAGTGAGCAATAACAAACAATTGGCGAGGAAGCAGGCCAAGCCCTAGGGAAGAGGAGACTAGTCGACCAGGTGGGTCGAGGTCGAAGGAGGATAAGTTGAGGTTGGAGAGGGGCAAGGAGAAGGTAGATATCCAGCCGGGAGGAGAGGTAGAGGAAATTCAGATGGTCAAAGGATATGAGGAGAGGAAGTTTAGAATTGGGAAATATTTGGACGAGCCCATCAGGTCGAAGTTGATTGATCTGGTCAGAGATTTTGCGAATATTTTTGCTTATATGGTGGAGGAATTGACAGGGATAAGTGCGGACGTGATCGTGCATCGTCTAAACATTGACCTTAGTGTGAGGCCGGTGAAACAAAAAAGGAGGCACCATGGGGCAGAGATGGACAAAATCATTGAGAACGAGGTCTAAAAGTTATTGGGAGCGGGGCATATCAAGGAGATCCAGTTCCCCGAATGGTTGTCAAATACTGTGATGGTGTCAAAGGCGGAGGGGAAATGGAGAATGTGCATTGACTTCCATGATCTAAAGAAAGCATGCCCGAAGGATCTGTACCCATTGCCCAGAATCCACCAGCTGGTCGACTCAACTGCTGGGTGTGAATTGTTGAGCTTGATGGATGCCTCGCAGGGGTATCATCAAATCCCCTTGGCGAGAGAGGACAGGAAGAGGGTGAGCTTCGTGATGAGTCGAGGAACTTACTGTTACGTGGTGATGCCGTTCGGCTTGAAGAACGCAGGTGCCACATATCAAAGGTTGGTCGACAAAATTTTTAAAGAGCAGCTGGGGAGGAATATTGAAGTATATGTGGATGATATGTTGGTGAAAAGTAAGGAGGAGATGGATCATGTGCAGGACTTGAAGGAGACATTATTTACCTTGAGGAGATATGGG